TGTGTTATCACTGTCTCACTTAAAATAAAATAAACCAAAAAAATTCATGTAGGTATACATAACAAAATTTACCATTTTAACTATTAAAAAAGGTTTGTTATAATATGTGACATATAATCATTACACACCCCACATGGCTGACCACATTTCCAGTTCCGGACCTGAAAGACTGAGATTATGCCGGGTGTGTGTATGTATGTGTGTGCCCAAAATCCTGGGAGCAGAGGGGATTGTGATATGGTCAAACCCTCTTGGGGGGTGTGATTTCTCACTTTCCCTCTCTGTCTTTCTCTGATGAGCACACATACCCTATGGTATAGCAAAAACCAAACAACCAAAAAAACAGAAAAAATCATGTATACAGTGTATAATAACCAAATTCAGGATATAAACTTATTTACCACTTTCAACATTTAACATTATATTATGTTGTGAACATTTAAAACCAATTCAAATAGTCCACTAGTTCTTCTGAAAGTATGTACTGAATTGTCTATGATGTTCTTTACTGCAAAATACAGTTCTAAAGAAAAACAAACTGATTAAAAATTAGATAGCAAAAAAATCTCATAAATAAATGAGGATAGATTTCTTTTTTTAAGAGAAAGATAATTTTAACATAGCCAATGAAAGAAATATACATATATATATAGGAGATATAGTTTATATTCTGAAAAGTTCTACCATTCTTAAGTGTACATTCAGTTGTGTTAAGTAGAGTCTCATTGTTTTGCAATCAGTCTCTGGAACTTTTCTTGTCTTGTAAAAATGATATTCTAAATACATAAAACAAACATTCCTCATTCTCTTCCTCCTTAGCTATTTGCAGCTATCATGGTACTTAATGTCTTTACAAATTTAACTACTTTAGAAAACTTAAATAAGTGGAATCATACAATACTTGTCTTTTGAGGCCTGACTTAGCATAAAGTCTTCAAGATTTATCCATATTGTAATATATATAAGGATTTCCTTCCTTTTTTCTTTTTTTAAGGTTTTTGCCATACGGTGCATGTGCTTACTGGAGACAGAGAGAGGGAAAGTGAGAAGTCACTCCTCTTAGGAGGGATGGCAACACTGCAATCTTTTCTTCATTCTCTTTCTGGGATTTTGGGCATGCATGCACATTTGTCTGGTGTGGATTTTATGCCACTGGATCGGGACTCCAACTACGGTCGGCCATGTCGGAATCCAGTGTCCCAGCCATTATGCCACCTGCTGGCCCAGGATTTTCTTCTTGTTACAGCCAGATAATATTTCATTGCATGTATACAGTTGTCTCTTGGTATCTGCCAGGGAGCAGAGGGGATTGTGTTATGGCCACACATCCCTGTGGATACCAAAGTCCATAGATTTTTTTTTTTAATACAAGTCCTTGTATAAAATGGCATAGTATTTGCATATAACCTATGTGTACACTCCCATATGCTTTAAATCATCTTTAGATTACTTATAGGTAATCTTAGCATCAGATGTAAGTGAAAAGGAAAATATAAACATAAACTTCAGTATCTCTTTTAAAAAATATTCAGGATAGAGAGCATGTATGCATGAGAGAGGGAGAAAAAGAGAGAGATGAGAGAGAGAGAGAGAGAGAGAGAGAGATTGATTCTCAACACTGTCTTGTCATGCTATAATTCCCTTCCCACAGCCCTCCAGGTTGTTTAGGTTTGAGCACTTGTACATCTACATGTTTTCAGGATGACTTGGGGATCTGAACCTGCCATTAGCTATATGGCTTCCAGCAGTGCAGTTTGGTTTGCTAGTAACTGTGCCACCAAGTTGGGCCTCAAATCTCTCTTTTAGGGAGACACTTCTTTTATTTCATAGCAGTTGATGTGCTCTGGTTCCATCTGTGGTTGGTTGAATCTGTGGAGGCAGAACTCCCTGATCCTGAGAGCCAATCATATAAACCAATCATCTTGTTTATCCATTCCCTTGTTGATGGACGCTTGGGTTGATTCCATTCTTTGGCTATTGTAAATTATTCTGCTGTGAACCAGAGGTACACAAATACCTCTTTGAGACCATGCTTTTAATTATTTGGGGTATATACCAGGAAGTAGACTTGCTGAGGCATATAGTAATTCTATTTTTAATTTTTCAAGGAATCACCATACTGTTTTTCATAGCAGCTGTACCATTTTTCATTCCTCTAACACTTCACGGGGGTTCCAGTTTCTCCACATCCCCTCCTACACTTGTTATCTTCTTAAACTGATTCCCTGCTGAAAGTTCCAGGCATAACTCTGCTAAGCTTTATTATTTACTGAAGATTTTCTCAGTACTAGTTCAATTGAGAGAGTTGAGCATTTCTTGACCATATTCCATATGTGCTGTACTTTGCTCTGTGAGACATGAAATAAGTATAAGAACATGCCTGCTCTCTGGATACTTACAGTATGTTTAGGAAGATCAAGTATAGGTACCTACCTTCTACTGCTGTGTATTTTGGCTCTGTGTATATGTCTTAGCTCTCAGTAAATGTAAGCTTCCTGAGAATAAATAGCTTTGTATTGATACAGTGTGTAGCACAATGCCTTATGTATAGCTTTTGTTTATTATGATTTTTTTTTTTTTTTGGAGAGGTTTTTGCTATAAGGTGCGTGTGCTCGCCAGAAAGAGACACAGAAAGTGAGAAGTCACGCCCCCTGCCCAGGGAGGATGGCCACGCTGCAATCCCTTTGCCTCCATTCTCCTCTTGGGATCTTGGGCATGCATGCATACATGCCCGATGCGAGTTTAAGCCACTGGGTCCGGGACTCGAACCATGGTCGACTACATGGGAGTCCAGCGATGTAGCCATTACACCATCTGCTGGTCCTCATTTATTATGATTTTAAAAATTAATAAAGTCACACAACAATATTAGACTATTTATAGTTAAATACCCAAGTAAATACTATTAGCCAATCAGTATAACTGAATTTTAGATGTAGCATGTTTCAAACTTATTAGGGAAGACTTTATGCAATAGGAGATAATTAAGTGAACTTTTAAAGGATGGTAAGAACTGAGCAAGAAGAGAAAATATTTTAACTGGATGTCTTAGTATTTGGAGGGCATTGAGTGGAATAGATCACACTGACTGGAACTGACTTTTAGATAGAGAGATGGGTGGATAAATAGATAGAGACATTATAAATACCAATTTGCAGAGTTTGTCCTTACTCCATTTGACCTTAAATAGTCACTGAATTTTTTTTTTAATTTGCCAAAATGCATGTGTGCTCACTGGAGAGAGACAGAGACGGAGAGAGGGATAGTGAGAAAACACCTCTGATTGGGAATGGTCACACTGCAGTCTTCTCTATCTTTCTCTTGTCTTAGAAATGTGGGTGCACAGGGGCCCGCAGATGGTATAATGGTTATGTTGCTGGACTCCCATGTAGTTGACTGCAGTTCAAGTTCTGAACCTGGTGGCTTAAACTCACACTGGCATTTGTGTGTGTGTGTGTGTGTATGTGTGTGTGCACCCAAAATCGTGAGAGGAAAATGAAGGAGAAGGGATTGCAGTATGGCCATCCCCACTGGGGAATGATTTCTTGCTTTCTGTCTCTGTCTCTCTGGCAAGCGCACACACCCTATAGCAAAAATCACTCTAAAAAAATAAATGAAAAATAAAGAGGACAGTAATTTTTGATTACTTTTATTCTGTCAGCTCTTTAATAGCAGGGCTCTTCAATCCATAGTGCCTAGGATGGTTCCCAGAGCCAAGTTTGCATAGTTTTTCAGTGGATGTGTGAATGTACGGACTAGGTGATTTGGGCCTGGATAATGCTATTAGCAATAGCGTAAACCATGAGAGACATTGTGGAGGAAACATTGAGATGATTTGTTTTCTGACCGTATAAAGGTTGTGTACAACGTGGAAAATGACACTAAAGTTTCAACAGGGATTATTAAAGAATAGCAGTGCTATATCCTTAGAAGTAGTCAGCTAAGGGAGAAGGGGAGTGAGAGAAGGGACAGTCAAGGTCATGTTTTTAGATTTACTGAGTTTCACATGGAAACATCTAACATGTAGAGGTTTAAGGGCTCAAATATGACCTGAAGTGTGAATTTTTAAATTCAGATCACATTATGTAGGTATTGTTTGAACAGTAAAAGTGATTGGACCGATTAAGCTGTTTTGTGTGCATATGTGCAGAGGTTGTGTGCATGTACACAAGTATACACACTCTGATCGGTTACAACCCAACATGTGTTAGATTGTCCATTAATGAATGTGTTTATTAGTATTAGTAGAATGATGAGGACTGAATTGTGGACTGAGCAGAGGGAAGAAAGGAGACAGAAAAAGAACAGAGATGGAGAAACTTATTTTATGTTTTAGAATATTATTACTACTAACAGTAGTTCTCTGTATCAGTAATTAGGCTCTTACTCTTATGTCAGACACTCTGCTAGGTGTGCTGTCTCTTTACCCCTATAGCCAACCCATGACGTCATTACTATTACATCTTCCTTTTACTGATGAGGATACTGAAGTCTCAAGAAGTTAAAACTTGACCAAGACCACTTGAGCTAATAAACAATTAGGAAAGTTTGCACATATAAATGGACCTTTTTTTACTCTAAGCTGATGTTCTTTCTGTTATACCAAAGGTATGTATGTTAATTTCTGCAAGGCAAGGGCTTTGTCTATACAGAATCAGTCTTCAGTAAAGACTTATTAATTTGCAGGCAGTGATTAAACAGTAATGTTTCCTATAAAAATAATCAGTGTATACTTCGGACATGGCTGCTTCTACTTTTCTACTTAGGTGTTTATATTCATGGTATATTTGAAGATAAAACTTTATTGACTGATTGTTGCAGATGTTAATTTACAAAGGTATAATACGTATTTGAAATATTAATCATCCAAAAAACTGCTTTTCAAAATTTTTTTCTTCAATGAATGCAAATCTCTTCTAGAAATTTTTCTAAGGCACTCTCCAGAACATTAATGCATTAGGGAGAAAATAAGATGGGCTTGTGATGTTCTTTTATTTCAGGGGATATCATTTTCAATGCTCAATACCCAGAGCTGCCCCCCGATTTTATCTTTGGAGAGGATGCTGAATTCCTGCCAGACCCCTCAGCTCTGCAGGTGAGTATGGCAAACTCGCTTAACTGATCTTTATTTGGTGAAAGGAAAACAAAATTGGCTTTGAAAGTAGCTTACCAGATAAATCTGTCAAACAGGTGAATTTTTTCCACTCCTCTTCTCTCTGTCCTGTGAAAGAGTACAACTCTTTATGTACCAAAATAGTTACATAGGAAACTTTGTTGGTTGCAGTTTTACTTTCAGGCTATTTTGAATTAATGAAAGTCTCAAGTATATTGGTTGAGATATTTTTACTTCAGTTTAAAGGACATGTTGAAAACATTTTCTTTGTTTCAACTTAATATTTCATGCCTGCAATCAATTTTCTAATGTTTACTAACACTTCATCACAGGGCTTGTTAGGAGAGTGTTTCTTGGCTCTTTAAGAGTTTTTTTTTTTTCTTTCTTTTTTATGTATGTGTGAGTGTATAGAAGTGAAAGTGGTAAATTTGGACTTGATTCCACATTATCTCAGTATTTTTATCAGAATGGTATAAAGACCAGATTAAGTGTTCTTATTAAGACTCAAAACTTTGTACTTAAAATAAAATGTTTCTGGAATTAAAGCAGGACTATTCACCATTGGGAAAAGGAGTGGTGATAGTTGTCAGAACACATGCGGTTTATATAAAAGTTGTGTGTTTCATGTGGCTGATGGAGAAAAACATGTGCCATGTTGTTTAATGCTTATGACCAGACAAACCGTCTCTCCCTTTCCCTTCTCAAATTTGAATTTGCTATACCTATACTGTGAAAGTTCTATCATCATCCAAAACTGTTCTTAATTTTGTTTTCTGGAGACTTTCTGTCTTGTTAAAGTTTTGTAATTAGAAGTTTCAATGACTTACTTTGAAATCTTGCTCCCACCCCATTTTAAAGAGGAAGTGTTAAACAGGAAGTATTAACTTGAACCTAAAGAATTATTTAATAGTTTAGAACATGGCTGTAAAAATACTTGAATCAAGAATAGGATGGAGCTATTGTAAAATTTCTAACAATCACACATAAGGTATTATTTGATTTTCTAAAAAAAAAAAAAATTGTGAGTTGGATATGGCACCTGTAGTTGTCCCATATTAAAGCCAAGAGGCCTACTTAAAGAAAATCGGGCAGAGGTAGTATTATAGACCTCGACTTATTAAATCTGCCCAATGGAGAGTAGCATATGCTAAATGCCAAGATGTATTCCAGGCTGTGTCCCCCAGGAACTGAAAGAAGTTGGTCAGAAAAAGCTTTGTAGGGGAGGTGAGATTTGTACTCATTCTTGAAGAATGGAACAGAAGTGGGAAGTGTGACAGAATATTTCAGATGGCACAGTGACATAGCAAATTTGAAGAAGCTACCATTTGTATAATATATTGCAGAAGAAGGTACTGACAGGTTTGCTGCAGTGTATGTGAATATAAGACAGGTCTAGAAAAGGTTAGAAGGATAAATTGGGAGAAGATTATAGAGGACATTGAATGGTGGGCTGAGAGTCATTGAAAGAAATGAAAAAGGGAGAATCATCTAAAAGCAGTGTGGTCAGTATATGGATTAAGGAGAGACTGATGACCAGAATTGATGTTGGAAGGATTGAGGGAGAAGAAAGGGGCTTTAAGGTAGGGCGAAGCAAGAATTAAGCAGTATGATGGAAGGGATAAAGAAGTAGTGTTTCAACTTTTTTTTAAATTGCTATAAAAAGTTGAAGTGCATATATTTGGTCTTGCCAAGTGTTAGAGAGTGTTGAATTTAAAAGCTACAGAGGACCTTAAGATTCATCTTATTTCACTCTGCTTTTTGAGTACTGAGGAGATTGACCTTAATTTATATAATTCTATGTCAGAGCTGATAGTATCACTCCACTCTTGCTGTTTAATCTCTGAATTAAGTTATCACAAATGTTTTTGAGAAATTAGCTGAAAAAGAACAGCCAAAAATATCAAAGCACTAGCTCTAAGAGAAAGATTGCAGATCTAGGAGGGAACCTTCTCTGTAGTGATGGTTGATCCAGGGCTTCTGGTAGCTACTCAGGGCTTCTTCATTGATCAGTAGGCTGGGAAAGCCCAGATGAGCAACCAGAGTGCACCCTCCACTTGCTGGGGGATGTCCAGATAGCTCTGGAGGTTGCAGTTGGTATTCATTGTCATCTGGACAGGATAAATACAAGGTCTGATCCCCAGCAGACATTTCTCAGAGCACAGCTTGCCTCCGAAGAACTTTTCACTCAACTGTTAACAGGTTATGGTTTAGTTCTTGGATTCAGTTCAGACCTTTTTTCTTTTCTTGAAGTGCTCAGGGTACAGTCACTAATAACCCGACTAGTCTACATATGGTTCAGTGTGAAGGGGAATTACAATTTCATCACCCATACAGGAAAACAGACTGCCTGGACTTGTTTCCCAGGGTTTTCCACTGAAGTACGCCTTACAGAAGAGAATGAATGTGTACCCTTAGAATCTGGGAGTGCAGTCGAAAGCAGTTCCTGTGGCTAATAGGGAATTTCTTTGAACTTTCTGGTTTTTTTTTTTGTTGTTGTTGTTGTTGTTAAAAATGCATGAAAATTTACATTTGATTTTATAATATACCTTTTGGAAACATTTATTTATTTTCTAAATGAGAGAGGGAGAAAGGCACTCCTAAGTGTTGGACACTGTGATCTATCCTCAGCATTCAGCCAATAGCAGATTGTGGGCATGCATGTACCTGGTATACTCAGGGAGGATTCCAGATGTGGACGGATTCCTTCTGTGTGGGAGTGACTCACAGAACTTCGGGCTTTAACCACTATACCACTGTCTGGTCCCTATGCTTTTTTGTTTGTTTCAAGTTTTTGTCAAAGGGTGCATGGGCTTTCTGAAGAGAGACAGAGAGAGGGAAAGTGAGAAATCACCCCCTGGGAAGATGGCTATGCTGCAGCCCTTTCTCCTCTATTCTCCTCTTTAGAGTTTGGGCATGGACACACACATGCCTGGTATGATTTTCAAGCACTGGGTCTGGTACTTGGACTGTGAAGTCAACCATGTCGAAATCCAGTGCCTTAACCACTGTGCCATATGCTGGCCTCTCTCTCTCTCTCTTAAACATAACATATATGAAATTATAAATGTTTGAGAAAAAATAGTCTTGCCATTGTGTCTCAGTTTGAGAAAATAATGGTCAATCCATTGTGTCCTCCTTTGAAAAGTGTAGTTTTAGAGAATATATGTGATCTTTTATTTACTTAGCTTATTTAAACCTATTCCTCCCCCCCCCCCAAAAAAAAAAGATTTGTAAAGGACTCATATAAGGTTGATTGAAATATGTGAGGTGCTCTTATCAATTGAATGAAGCCATCACTTCCTAAAGTCAGACTTTTTCTTAAAGGAGGCAAGTTATGTTAGGAACTTGAGATTTTCAGATGAATTAAAAATATTAGATAAATACCAGATCTAAAGATGGGTATCCGATAGACACCAGACATCATAAAATCATTGAGAAGTGGTCCATTGGGTTCCAATTCTGAATATAAAATTAACATAATCTGGGAAGCCTTTTGAAAATACAGACTCCATTGGACTACTTAATCAGATGCTTTGGTGAGTCAAAGAAATGTTAACTTCTCTGGGCTATTTTTATGTATTAGTCTGTGAACTCTATGGAAATCTGTCTTTTACATTAATGTTTCCAACAGAAGGCCATTTGCCTTTGCTTAACATTATTTCCAGAGAGATATTTCTATCTTGGGTAGAATTCTTAATTTTCAAAAACATGACTTCTTTTTGAGGCATAATTTATATGCCATGCAGTTCACTCATTTAAGAAGTAAAATTCAATGATTTTTAGTATTATCACAGAATTGTGCAACTATCACCACAAATGTAGACCATTGTCATCACCCTGAAAAGAAACACTAAACCCATAAGTTACTTCCCTATGCTCCCACCCTTACCCGACTCTAGGCAGCAACTAATTTGTATTCTGTCTCTGAATTTGCCTATTCTGGACATTTTCTGTAAGTGGAGTCATGTAATGTGTTTGTTACTGACTTTGTTCACTTAGCGTATTTTCAGTATAGCATATATCACTATTTCTTTTTTATGGGCCAAGTAATATTCCAGTAAAGGCATATATGACAGCATATCCATTCATCATTTGATGAGACACTTGGGTTATTTCAACATTTTGGCTACTTCAGTTATATGGCTTTATTTTTATTTCTCTTAGATGTATTCCTCAGAGTAGAATTGCGGGATCAAATGATAACTCTAATGTTTTGAGGAGTGGCTGCACTATTTTATATCTTCATCAGCAATGAATAAGTGGCACAATTTCTCCATATCCTCACCAACACTTGTTACTCTTTGTCTCTTTCATTATAGCCATCCTAGTGGGTATGAAGTGGTATCTCATTATGATTTTTTTTTGAAAGGTTTCACATATTTATTACTGAACCAACCTACCAATGCAGAACTTAGAGACAAGGTGAAGCATCATTTTTTTCCCAATAAACACACGCGTCCAGTCAGTGGTGACCATTTTCAGTTTGATGTGGTAAGACCATAGTGACCTTGGTACAGCATAAATATGTGGGCCTATTCTGCCCAGTTTGTCATAGACCCAGCTTGGTTCTTCTCCAGTGTCCCCTCTTGGAGTTGTATCTGATTTTATTACCAGTTTTCATTCTAACCCACTGGGGAATAGGACGATTTTGCTTCTGTTTTTTGGCCAGAAACCGCTTGATTCTGAAAGTCTTGTGAGAAGACATGGCGAAGAGCCAAGTGGACCGCACGTACCATGATGGCGGAGAAAAGAAGATCTCATTATGATTTTGATTACACTTCCCTGATGGCTAATGCTGTTGAGCGTCTTTTCCTGTGCTTATTAGCCACTTGTATATCTTCTTTGGAATTTGGTGATTGCACACAATGTGTCCAATACTGTATAATATGAAATTTGACTTAAAGGAGGCTAAATTTTAAAGAGCTAAGACATATTCACATGGAAACATGTAGACACAGGTAGTATATGATTAAATGTTGAAA